TGCGATCCGTTGCCGGACACGGAAAAAGACAAAAGACAAAAAAAAAAACAAAAAAAAAACATGAAATTAGCTTCAAAACCAGATTTGGAGCCCCATAATAGAAAACCTTTAAAGAAATTTGTGGTCTTAGCAAGTTCCTGCAATAACTTACATCAGAACTTCTGAATAACAGGATGAAGTCTACAAAGCAGATGCTTTAACAAACCATCATTAATGAGATAAGTAGGTTGAGAAAGTAAAAGAATAGTAAATGTCCCATGCCTTGATGCTTTAGAAGATTTCCAAAGAGGTATAAGTCTGCATGCCCAAAACAACTAAGGAGAATTTGTATGTTTCTTATACCAGATGTTCTTTTAAAAACAAGAACCTTCCCAGTGTATCATAGCTGCCGCAGGAGGGCTGCATGATGTCTAAAAACAGAGTTGAGGAAATGACACACTTGCCTGTTTCCCAGGGGTCCAGAATATGCTAATGTGGGCACAAACAGGAGACCCGCAGCTGAAAGCCAGTACTGAAAATGGCCCTGGAAAGGGAATGCCCACTCAGATTTCTTAAACTCTCTTCTAACTGTGAGAACTGCCAACTCAAAACATCACCTATTTTCTGAAGGAACACATCTGCATGTGTTCCCACAGGTACCCCAGGAATACAGACTGACTGAAGAGATAATGAGCTGTTATGACCCTCCAACCAATTCCAGTGGTTCTGCTTGAGAACAAGAGGAGTCAGACTAAATTTTCTACCTGAGGAAGAGTATTTTTTAAATGTTATCATTTCAATATAACTCACTTTCAACTAAGAGGATAACAGTATTTCATTCTGAAACCTGGGGGAATTGGATCCTTAAAATATCTGTGGAGAAAAGATGACAAGCTGTAACCCTATCTTGGCAATGCCAGAGGGCGATACAGCAGTTTAGAAACAGAGACGCTGGTGTCAGGGAAGACAAAGGGTAGCTGTTGCACAGAGATCACTCAAAACCTTCTCACCAAAAATGAAGAATTCATCACTGTTATGATATCAAGCCATTCCCCTTTCTGTTCTAAACGTTGATTTTGCTTCTTCATTGGATTGAAGTGAACTTTAATTAGCTTAAAGTTCAAGTCAAATTTTTCATAAGCCACTATAGTTGATTTCCCAGTTCCCACAAAATAAAAAATAATCCGCATTTGCATATGTTGAAGGATTCTTAATAAAACATACTTAGTATCTTGTGGAAGTTTCCATACTAAATAAATAGACACATATATACCACTTATATATGTAAATACATATACATATCTACACATATATATATATATATATATATATATATACACATACCTGTACACACACTTATCTTTAAAAATGTGAGTGGTTACTAAGTAAAAATAACTTCCAATCAAAATAACTTACTCAGTAATTCCATGTAAATATAGTCTCAGTTTTCACTGAAGCAGTATTTCCATGGTTACAAAAATTAAAAGACCTTTGACTTAACTAACAATAAACTTATACCTAAGTTAACGAAATTCTTACACTTAAGTTTACAACAATAAGATGAACTGGATACCTCAGAAGGGTTTATTGGTCAATTGTAAACATATAACTTTTAAACATGTGTGGATTGATCCATTCTACTTAATTAAAATGTGTCTGGTTATCTTGTAACATGGCAAGTAAATATGGCTAAACAGATTTTCACACAAGTTGGAAGCTTTCTTTAGTATGACTATCTTAAAATGCAGGCTATGTGGCATATGGAAAATTTACTTTGACAGTCCAAGGAGAAGGTGATAAGCACCTCAAAGAAACAGACCGTCACCTTTCAGGGCAGTATTGGGAACCAAAGCATAAGGAAAGATGGTCATGACAGCCAATCAAGAGGAGCAATGCCATGTGTTGCCAGAAATACGGAAAGAGAAAAACTGATTGCAAATACACGTCCCATACTGAGTATCACAAGTGTGGACAGATTTCTGTATTTCAGGCAATGAGTCACAAAAAAATGGCTCCTCACATAGGCAATTCTAGATAAAATGCTCTAGGTCAGGAGTTAGCAAACATTTTCTGTAAAAGGCCAGATAGTATTTCAGGCTTTACTGGCCATACGGTCTCTACCACAACCACTAAATGCTCCCATGGAGGCAGGAAAGCAGCCATAAATGAATGAGTAGCTGTGATATAGCAGGACTTTATTTACAAAACAGTGGGACAGATTTAGGCTGAGGCCACAGTTTGCTGACCTCTGTTCTAGAGCCGCAGCTTTCAACATTTTTTTTAAAGTACCACGTCATGTAAGAAACACTTTTTACATTACACATATGCAATATATACATATATGTATGTATGTTTCACAATATAACACCAACTGTAAGCAATGTACCTTGATATTTCTTTATTTCGTATTTTTGGTTTTTTTTTTTCTTTTGGAAGGGGGCTGTTTTGTGTAACATAATAAAACACTAAGTTGATCTCACAAATGGGTAGTAATCCACAGTTTGAAAAAAACTGCTCCAGTGTGAAGGGCTGTTGGGACATATTCATTTACTGATTAACCCAAGCAATAATGGAAACTTTCTAGTAATACATAACATTTACTGAATGCTTTCTATGTGTCATGCACTGACAAATGTTCTAGGAATCTAGCAGTGGAAAATAAAACAATGTTGCCCCATAATAGTTAACACTGTAGTAGTTTCCACCTGATAGTAAATACTCATCAGTAAAATGGGATGATAACTGTAATACTACAATAATACTGTAATAATTATCAGACTGTTGTGGAAATAGAATTTAACAGGATGTCTGGCACATACTAAGTATTCAGTAAGTTTTCCATTACCATTATTATTCAAATAATTAAGCACCAAGAAATACTTTTTAAAATCATGTTGAATTATACATCTGTACTAAATCTTCAAAATAAGTTAAAATTCCAATTGTTTAATTAAAGAGATAGCCTTACCTATATGACTTAAACCTAGAGAGGTTTATAGTAATGACCTATTACGATAGTCAAACAAAATATACAACAAAGAACTTTTAACCTCGGCTTCTCCTTCCCCCACTAAACAAAATTCAGAAAAGATTTCTCTGTTTAAAGAGATAGCCTTACCTATATGACTTAAACCTAGAGAGGTTTATAGTAATGACCTATTATGATAGTCAAACAAAATATACAACAAAGAACTTTTAACCTTGGCTTCTCCTTCCCCCACTAAACAAAATTCAGAAAAGATTTCTCTGTATACTTTTTTTTTTTTCCTTTTTGTCTTTTTTTACTGACCGGCAACGGGATCGCAACCCTCGGTGTTGCGTCCACACCGCGCTCAGCCAGTGAGCGGGAACCGGTCTCCACATGGGATCCGAACCCTCGGCAGGAGCGCCGCCGCACTCCCAAGCGGCGCACTCTCCAGTGTGCCACCGGGCCGGCCCTTCTCTGTATACCTTTAAACTCAATGCAGAAAAGACATGCCAAATTTAGATCAATTTTTGCCATCAAGTAACCCATCGTAGATGATGCAGGTGAAAAGAATTCAGGAAAAGACATTCTAGAATCTATAATAAAATGACTACTGTGCCTGTGCATTCAGCTACAAACTATACATAAACTTTCATAAACCAACATTTTAATATTTAGAAAAATAGTTTTTGCATATTAAATAACTACTTTGTATTATCAAAACAACAGCTCAAAGGTAATCTCCATAAGAGTGAGATTTTTGTGTTTTGTTTTTTTTTTCCCCTCTGCTATATACCCAAAACTTAGAACTGAGTTCTTGGCCCTTAATAGCTTCTCAGTAAATATCTGTTACATGAAAGAACAGTGAAAAACAACAGATAACTTGTCAACTTTTTCATGTTTTAACATTACACATTCAAAAATTGATTTTAAAATGTAAATTATTTAAAAGTAATATATTTAAGGTTTATTGACCATTCTAGTTTAATTGAGTTATTAATCTGATTAGTTATAAATTAATGTCTGTGGGATAAAGAAACAATCTTACCTTCTTTCTCTACTCTAAAAACAAAAGTTCTTTGTGTTGTAACAACTTCAAATTTGTTGTCTCCTTGAACTCGTACCGTAGATATAGCAGAAAGTGGAATTATTCCTTTCGAATACATCTCCTGTAAAGGTTAGAGAAAAAGATATGTGAAGAAGACATACGAAAATGAAATTCTCTTGATCTTACAAAATAGGAATGGCACAGTATTTACAATTGCTTCTCTTTCATAATTTTGATCTAAGTTTTAAAAATGATATACAAATAGTATGTAAACTCATTGAATTAATACTCCAGAAGAGAAACTATCCACTGCCCCCGTTCCTTTAAGTGAGATGTCTTTTCAATTTTCTCTTCATCTGAAATTAAAAGGCACAGAATCAACTGCAAACAATTCTACTAGATAAGCAATATATAGTTCCAAAAACAGCAGCATGTTCCTTAAAACAATCTGGCCAAAAGGATTTTATGGTGTTTGCAGGCATCTGCTGGCCATAACAGGTACTGTAACTGAACCATCTCAAAACTATTGTTACTACGTATTGAGAATAACAAAAATATACCTAAAAAATCTGACAGATTTTATCAGTTAACCAATTAAGCACATGACTCAATGCTCTGATGATGATTTTATTTCTCTATGACTAAAAAGTAAAAAAAAAAAAAAAGACAAATTTGGCTGTTTGCAATTGGCATACACATATTACAGTTTTGCTCAAAAAAGTTCATTTTTAAGACTCTGATAACTTTTTCTTAATCTTCATTTTGCTGGACCCTCCCAAATCATTTGGAATAATGACCACCTTATAATTTCAAATATTTATTAAGGGTGTAATACATACTGGGCCCTGTATTGAAAAGAAAATTCAAAGAGTCCTTATACATTCAAGGAGGGCCGGCCAGGTGGCGCACTGCTACAGTGCAAGGAGCCTCAAAATGAATAACCAGGTAATGTACTGAGAGAAAAGTTTAAAACTGAGTACAAACTAAGGTATAGGAATATAAAGACAGAAACTTTCCATTCTACTTAACAGGAGTAAGGGGTGTTTTTAGAAACATGGTGGTATTTGAGCCAGACTTTAATGGACCTTAACTTTAAACAAATAGATAAGTAAGTGGGAGTCATTTAGCCAGAATGACTGAATAAAGG